GTTTTTAACTTTAAGAAGAGGATAGTGAAGTTCAAAATCATTAAAGACTATCCAGATATATTAATCCTCACATACATTAAAAAAAAAGAGAAGAAGAAAGAAAATAAAAAGGGGATTAAAAATGATCCTGAAAAGTAAAAAAAAAGAAAAAGAAAAAAAGATGTGGGGAGAAGCTTGAGGAGATGTCTAATTAAAAATTGGCTTCACTTGAATCAACTTAAGGAAAAAGACTTGGACACATTTTCTAAACTTTTTATCTGAGTATTAGCTTAATGATTAATAAAGTCTTATGAAGTTCTTTTTCATATGAATTTTCTAAGTGACTTTAATATGACAAATTACAATTTTTCTTGAAAAAAGTTAAGGATCAGAAATGTTAGAATTAATTATTAAATATCCTAGCACCTTTAGTATTAACTGGAGTTGTTTTGAATTTTTCTTAAGTTATACGATTATGTTTAGAGAACCTAAATATGGAAGTCTTGAAGTTAAATTCTTTACCAGAATTCATATTTTTATGTAGTAGAGGAGTTACTTCAAGATAAGTAACATGTAAGTTTGGTGGATTTGATACACCGAAAATATATGTATTTTTAGACCCATATTTTATACTTATTTTTGGTGATATTACACCTTAATGGAAGGTATTTTTATGTTTTCTTGCAGGTTGTGGACTTAAAGCAAAAATGATGGAATTTGGAGTCAAAATGACATTTTTGAAAAAGTACTCAACGCCGACCGCGCCATAGACAGCGTCGACCACGCAGAACAACAGAACAGCTGAAATTCTTACTCAGCGCCAAAGGCGGTTCAACCCTTGTTTCTAGAAGGTTTGATGTATTTGGATGATTTTTGAAGAGTTTTTGGAGGCGCCACTTGGAGAACCGACCTTGAGCTTTGTTTGAGGCTGAAATTCATCAGTAATTGGACTCATTTTCACTCCAAAATGTTCCACCACGCTCCATTTTTTGTCGTTCTTCATAATCCACCTTCATTCCACCTCCACATTGGAGTCCATTAGTGATTTTTATTTTATAGTTTAGAGTTTGTGTGGAGAGATTTAGTGTGAAACTTTCTGTAAGAGTGTTGGAGAAGGAGAGAAGTGAGAGATATATTCTTTCTGCATTTCTAAGGAAAGGCTACAAGGGATTTGATTTGAAAAAGAGTTTCAGATAAGTTTTGTTTGTTTATTAGTGTTATATGAACTTTCTTTTATATATGAAATTTGTGTTTTGTTGTGTCTTTTTCAAGAAGTCTGAGTAGTTCCCTCTATCTTTATCCCTACTCTGAGATATGATGAAATTAAGAGATAATATGATGTGACAATATTAAAATATAAAATAAATTGTGATGATTTTTCAACTCCGAACTTACTTTCTTTGTTGGGTGTAGAATTGGAGAATCTTTAGGGTGACAGACTAAAATCCCCAATTTTGTCTTAGTGTTTAAAAACTAAAGCAAGAGTTAGCCTTCAGGTGAAGGGACGTGGGAGCTTTGGAGTGGGAGTCGGTATCCTCCTAGCCTAGCCACGGATTTAGGGACCAAACCTAGGATTAGCCAATGATTTTCTATGCATTGTATTAGGGTAGAGAATTATACTTGTTCCTATTTGGCATACATATTATTAATATTTATCTCATCTCTTTTCACCAGAACCTCATTGTAGTAAGAATGATGCTTTTTCACATAAGAAATCTTCATTATATAAACATAGTTAGTAGATTAGTATTTACTTTTTTAAACTTTGCATTTTTGTTTTGCTAATATTTAAGTACTTTAGTTTTGATAACATCTCAACATTCAAAATTAGTGACAGTGATTTTTGATTTTCTATAAATTTCATAATAAAACTTATCATTGCCAATTTACACCTTCCTTTTGGGATCGATATTTGGGGCTTGAATAGAAATTCCTTTATTGCTTGATAACGATACGTATACTTGCGTAGAATCTCATTATTAATTGCCTATAATTATATATATTTTACACAACTTACTTTTAATATAAGGATCAAGTTTTCAGCATTATAGTGGTGTCAACTTCATAAATCCTTACATATAAAAAATCGGGATCACATCCCTCAACATTTTCTCCTGTCGATGATCACTAAGGTCTCCTAACGATGTCAATTGATTGCACAGATCTAGTTCAGGTTCTTTTCTCTTCTTCTTCACAACTAGTTTCTTTCTCAACATTCATTTACAAGATGGAGTGGAGCAGTAATCTCTTCAAGAACTATAAGGAGCACATCCTTATCAAAGCAACATTGATGCTTCACACCAGACATGGTGTCACTTGGAGTGCGCAGAAGGAGAAGGGAATGAGATAATGCTCTCTTGACTCTATTTATAAAGGGTGCAAGCACAAAAACTTAGAGAGTCTGATTATTAAATTATTGAATTGTTTGAAATTATTAAAAAAAATTTGTGTTGATAAAATTTCTCTTGTTCTTATCACAACAAGACCTTCAAGGAGTTAGAGAATCCGTGAATTAATATGTATAAATGAAAATTGTCAGCATGAATATCAAAAAAGAGTCTAGATTAAAAGGAAAATGATGAAAATTTTGATATAAAGCTACAAGAGCTCATGAAGCCTATCAAAAAAGATGAAAATAAATATGATATAAAGCTACAATTTCTCAAGAAGCCAGCCGACTAAAAATAACCAGAAGGCCGAAGAATAATCAATTGGCTAAACGCTTATTCTAATACCGAAGGTTCACCTTAGCGAATGTACATCTACATCGACCTCCTGGAGGCCGACCAGCTGCCACTCTAAATGTCCCTCGGCTTTCTAGAATGAAAGACGGTTCACGCCCATACAAAAACGTCGAACGGAACCAGTTATGTCGACTGATCCAAAGACCTGACGATTATGAGGTCTAGACATACAAAAGGGTGTTAATATCAGTTACTGATACGAAAAAGTGTTAATTCATGTTATAGATACAGAAAGATGCTAATAACAGTTATAATTATGAAAAGGTGACCAAATAGGTAATATTGATCTGTAAAGCTATATGGGCAATTTAAAAAGAATATTGGACAGTAACGCCTTCATTGAAGAGGGGGTAAACCTGTAATTTTATCAAGAGTTCTATACGATTATAAATAGGGATTATTTTAAGAAGAAAAGGACGGACATTTTCCTCTAAACTGTTCTTCTAGTACTCTAAACTTTCTCTTTATTTCTCTCTTCTTCTGTAAGCTCTATCCCTCAAGGTGTGTTCCAAAAAATACATTAGGATTTAACAATATGAATTATGATTTTTAGTAGATTAGTACATAATTCTAAAGGAGATATGGTCAAACATTTGTAGATGCAAGAAATTCAAGTGGTTAGTTTGGTCAAATAATATTTTCAAGTGGTTAGTTTGGTCAAATAATATTTGACATATGGAGACAAGCTTCTAAAGGGAAGAAAATGAGAAATAGAAGTGTTTGGTTCACAGTCTTGTGATGCATGACGCTATTACTCTTGAGATGAAGCTCATTTTGATCAACGGGTTGGTCTCGGTACACTTCCTACATACATACAAGCTCAAATGACAACAATGCGCTCAAATAACCACGGTGGAAGATGGAATGAAATAATTGTGGTTCGAGAGACAAAAGAAGAATCCAACTTGTGATGTTAAGTATGTCAATAAACCACTAAAGAACTATTAACGAAGTCACGTTCCTTTATAACCCACTGAAAATTAATAAATTTCATTTTATGTGTGTGTTTGTGTGTGTATTCAATCAAATTTGTATCAGGTGGCCAATAATAGATGGTCATGTGACAATTTGGGCCCACTGACATACACGATTTAGGCCCGGATTGCCACGTGATACTCTTTTACTGGACACTTGTGCAAATTTGCATGAGGTATCATGATGCAATAATTTTTAGTGTATATAATATTATTTATTTATTTTATTCATAAAAACCTTTGTCATCTTTATGCCTTTTTGTCCGTATTCCTCCAACATTTATATAGTTCTTACATGCGGGATAACTGATATTGTAAGAAAAGGTACACAGCTGTCTAGCGATCAAAACTATGTCCGTCTAACCGGCCAGATAAGGATTTGGAATTCCTATATATGAATTCTATTATTAACTTGTACGGCTTTGAAACGGAGATTTTGTGAGCTCATATTACTTGTGTTTCTTTATGTTTTTCTTTATAGAACTTGAGATGTTTTTTTTTTTTAATTGCGTCACTTAATTTTGAGGACTATTGTATAGGGTTGTAAACGAGCTGAGCTTAAGCGAGCTCGGGCTTGGCTCGTGTTCGGCTCGTTCAAAATAGCTCGTGTTCAAAATCGGCTCATGTTCGAAAATGTGTTCGTGCTCGGCTAGATTTAAATATTCGTGTTCGTGTTCAGCTCGTATTTGGCTCGAAATTGGCGGCTCGTGTTCGAAAATGTGTTCGTGCTCTGCTCGATTTAAATATTCGTGTTCGTGTTCGGCTCGTATTCGGCTCGAAATTGGCTCGTTAAACTAAAATTAAGAAAAATAGATGTAAAGTGTGAAATTCGAACCTAGATCAAATATATACAAAAGAAAGCACTAACCACATTACCACATGAGGTGTTATGATTTAAACTTAGACATAAATATATATAATATATTATTATATAAATAATATATGTTATATATTGTTATATAAAAAGCTATATAATTTTTTTTTTCGCGTCGAACACGTCGTTAGGCTTAATGAACGAGCCGAACACGAGCTGCTTAATGAGCTGAACACGAGCTGTTCACGAACAATGAGCGAAATTGGCTGCTCTACTATTGTACTTGATGCTCTTTGAGTAAATGCTGGAGTCTCACAAATTTCCAAAAAAAAAAAATTATAATAATAAATAACGGCCAGCATTGGCTTCATCCAAAAGCAATCGACCGGCTGAAATACACCACATAAAAAACAAATTTTCCCGCCAACGCATGTAGCAATAGCAGTTTTTATAAACAATATTCATATTAATAAAATCGCAAAGCAGCATATACATAAATACAGAGCGAGCATATATGTGTACAGACAAGACATGCACAACTATTACACACTAGATACATATGGCACTTTGAGCAAACCCAGCAGCTAAAGCAATACACATCAAATAGTCGGGTAGGATGCCTGCATGGCAATGCCGCAGAGTCCTTCGGCCGCAGACACATCTCTTTCGATCCTCATATATCCATTCTCGCCCCAGCTAGTCCCCCATGAGTTCTTCACCAGCCAGTACTTAGTCCCGTCCTTGTCAGTTCCATAGCCGATGGCGGCAACGCCATGGTCAAGATCGGTGCCGCAGGGACCATCGAAGACGCCGCCACTGTAGAGTTGGAAGGTAAAGTCACCGCCGTCGATACCAACTGAGACGGGTTGTCCGGTCACCGCCTTGAGCAGCGCGGCCTCGTCATTGGATGGAACTTTTTCATAGCTAGAGATCTTGACAGCGCTGGTTGACGCCTTCTTGGTATTGCAGGAGCCGTCGGCGGATTTGTAGGGGTAGTTGGCTTCGCTGGTGAGGCCTGAACTTGAAGGCGTCGTCCATAAGCCCGCCGCTGCAGCCCTGGTCCTCGCCGTACACGTCGCAGTCGACAAGCTCCTGTTCCGAGAGCGAGACCAACTTCCCGTTTTTTATTTTGTTGATGCTCTCCGTCGCCGCTACGGCCGAGAATGCCCAGCAGGCACCTACACTCCATAAACTCAAATTTATATGTTACTTGGCAGTCCCAGCAAAAGATTTTAAAAAAAAAAAATTTCAAATTTGTTACTCACCGCATTCACCTTGGTCCTTGATCGGAGTGACGACCCCCTGTTTCCTCCAGTCCAGGAAATTTGATGCTGACAGATTGGCATACCTGAAATTTGTCGGCGCAGTATGACTCGAGCTTGAGCCCTTATACCCAGTGTAAAAGTTTCTAAACTCCTGATTGGTCAAATCAGCAAAGCGGTTGGCTCCCAGCCGAAACTTGTGGTTGCCAGCATTGAAGCTCTGTATGAGGCCCATGTTAGCCTTAAAGATTTCAAGCCGCCGCGCCTTCTCTGTGGCATCGCTGTACACCCTCCCGTGCTTCGCCATCCACTCTTCGTGCTGCACAGCGATCGACATCTCCGCAGGTAGGATACGAGAAGCCGACACTGAAACGGCAAAAGCCACAAAAAGAAGCAGGGTTCTAATTCTGAGGGCCATATTATGGAAATTGCAAATAGCAAATTGAATTGCTAATTAAGCTTGGGATGCTCAACTGCTAAACTTAGGGGGATTTATATAGAGAATTTGAAAGAGAGTTGGACACAATTCCTCAAATAATGGAGGCTGTCAAGATACGCACTGCTTGCCGTGGGGATTAAGCTGATTCAGACATTTACCATGAATCATGATCAGGGTCCTATTCTTTTTTGTATGAAAGTACGTACCCTCAATCCCATCACTCATTTAACCAACCTTTTTTCGTTTAGATTAATATTGCTAATTTTTTTTTCTTTAGTGGCGGAGTATGCTTTTATGTAACCGTTAATCACGTGGAAATATCATTAAAATCGTTATTAGTTTTATCTAATTTGTAATTAAGATTCCATTCTCATTGGCCTGATGAGGGAATCTGTATAGATCTCCCTTGTTGCCCCAAATGATAAACTCCGGGCAATACAAATTGGTCATGTTCCAAGTTTGTGGGCACAAGCGAAGATCATAATAATATAATTTAAAAAATTAGTCTCTTACTGACTCATGACTTAGAGTTACTACAAAAAAAAGTCGGGATAAAAAAAAAAAAAAATCTTAAAAAATACAAATAACATGCAAAATTCATATTTTTTCTGGTTTAATAAAGTTGCTATAAATATTTAGTCGTTCAAAATAGAACAATATTCATTCCACCTGAAAAAAAATCAATAAATGTCTAGAAATATTTTCCGTCTTTTTTTTTTCAATTTTATTTCAGTAAAATTGCATCCCATCACTTTTATTCTATACTTACATCCTACTATGATTCCCCATTAGTTATGCTGACAAAAAGAGAGAACATTTTTATCTTCAATATCAAACCAACGTAAAATTTTCCTTGTGGGGATGGTTAATAAAAGTTGAACCTCCAGTTAATCTATGGCGTTGCTCTAAGGGTACCTCATATACAGTAACAATTTTGGAAGTACGTATCCTGAAGTGATATAGTTAAAGATTTGAAAAAATTGCCGCTTGATTGATACAGCAAGAGAATTGTTTAATTGCTTAATGTTGTCGTTACCTAGCGTTAAGAGAATAATTATAGAAGGGATTCCTTTCGGGATACGCAGCTTGGTATCTCGAACGAAGATGGCTAACTTGAAAAGGCTGGTGAATGAAAGAGAAGACGAGTAGTGAGCATCTGTTTGCTTTCTTAGGAGAGGTGACTTCTGGGTAAAGCTTTGATCTACAGCTGTTGAACCCAAAAGTGTCTAGGAATCACGCCTAAAGAATAGAGTACGTAAGACAAGACAGATGAAAGAGAATAAAAAGAATAGTAAAAACAAGTGTCTAGTGTCTTTTTTCATAAAATGGTCTCTTATTTATAAATATAGGAGATACATTGAGTACATAATTCCCTTTAAGCCTTTTCCTATATAAAGAAATTGTTATGGTATGGCTCATATACCATATCGGGACAGACGCTGGATCGAACCGGAGCGGAGCGGAGCGGAAGAATCTGTCCAAATTGGGAAGTTACGTGGGTTGGGGTGCGGGGGCAAAGCCCCGCGGATTGGTACAGGGGTAATGTTGTAATTACATATTGTGCCTAGGTTTACTCCTGGGGTTATAAATAGGTCTGTTAGTAACCCCAGGAGGTATGCCTGATTTCTGTAAACCCTTTTCTAATTATTGAAAGGAACTCGCCGCTCTGCTCCCGAGGACGTAGGCATCTTTGCCGAACCTCGTTAAATCTCTGTGTTCTTCTGTATTTGTGTCGATTGCTGTTTTCTTCGCCCTAATTTTCTCAACAAGTGGTATCAGAGCCAAGGTTCAAACCTATTACTTCACAGCAACCACCCATTGAAGCTGGAAAATAAAAAAACAATCCAGTTAAACTCATGAACGGAAAATAATATTATGCGTTTGAAGTGCCCAATTTATATTTGATGAAGTTAAAATCATTGTCCTTCTACCCCCCAAAGGAATGACCAAAATCATAAAAAGGGAGAAGATAATGGCTTCAACAATAACGGGTAATAGTTCAGAAGCCGATTCCTGTATATGATTCTGAACCAAAAGAACTCATAAAAGTTGCTATCAATAGATTTCTCCTCAAACCAGCCTTCTCCTACAAAACTATGCAATATATACATGTTTCAAAAAATATATATATGAATTAAAGTTGAAAGAATAACAAGATAACACACCGAAAAAAAAAAAGCACACGCGGGTAGAGAGAGAGAGAGAGAGAGCACAAATGTGATGAACTTACAGGTAACGGAGAATCAGTGGCCTTAAACTTCCCTAGTCTCCTCTTAAAATCCACAGGGTTTAGTGCCGCAGCAACAACCTTCACAAGCACTTGGTCATCTTTTATCTCCGGCACAGAAACCCCGTCATCTAACTTCAAGACCTTCACATCCCCGTACTCTTCATAGATCCATGCCTTCATCTTCGAAGGAATTTCAGACATTGGATTGGAGTAATGGCTTCTGCGTGAGAACTGCGAGCAAGAAAAAATATTGTGGCAAACCAGGGTGAAAGATCTGTTGGCTCAACAGGGAATCTTGAAAGCTCTGCGGGCAACAAAACCAGATGCCATGGAGGATGAAGATTGGGAAGAATTGCAACAGCGAGCGACAGCGACGATATGCCTATGTCTGGGAGATGAAGTTATGTATCACGTGATGAATCTGAAATCTCCCGGAAAAGTTTGGAAGAAATTGGAAACTCAGTTTAAGGCTAAATCTCTGACGAACAAGTTGTATCTGAAGCATGGAATCACGCCTAAGGAATAGAGTACGTAAGACAGATGAAAGAGAATAAAAAGAATAGTAAAAACAAGTGTCTAGTGTCTTTTTTCATGAAATGGTCTCTTATTTATAAATATAGGAGATACATTGAGTACATAATTCCCTTTAAGCCTTTTCCTATATAAAGAAATTGTTATGGTGTGACTCATATACCATATCGGGACAGACGCTGGATCGAACCGGAGCGGAGCGGAGCGGAAGAATCTGTCCAAATTGGGAAGTTACGTGGGTTGGGGTGCGGGGGCAAAGCCCCGCGGTTTGGTACAGGGGGTAATGTTGTAATTACATATTGTGCCTAAGGTTTACTCCTGGGGTTATAAATAGGTCTGTTAGTAACCCCAGGAGGTATGCCTGATTTCTGTAAACCCTTTTCTAATTATTGAAAGGAACTCGCCGCTCTGCTCCCGAGGACGTAGGCATCTTTGCCGAACCTCGTTAAATCTCTGTGTTCTTCTGTATTTGTGTCGATTGCTGTTTTCTTCGCCCTAATTTTCTCAACA